GGAGAACGTTGAACAGCGGAATTAATCAGCTCCCCTCAAAGTTTAATGGACTGCGCCAAGTTACAGCCGAGGCGTAGCCCGATCACACGCCCCTCTAATCTACTTAGCGGGTATTTGGTTTTGCATATTCTATTAACAGAATCGTCTGATAATTGATAAGCCGGGCCCGTTAAGACGGGGATATATCTTCCACGAGGACAGTCCTATTTCACTAACCGAACTGTCTGGCCAACACCGGGCTATTCTACTTGTCACGCCGTCCGACTAGTGACAGATGCATTCAATTAGCTACCACCTGACAGCACACCAATTTATTCTACTTAAGGGACATGGCTCGAGTCTGTACAAGTGTCTTACGTCATTTATATTATTCCACCATTAACCCCTCTGTAATGTCGCACGACCATTTCGAATTGAACTTAGGTAAAAAGATTGTTCCTGTTGAAAGATAAATCTTAGAAAATATTAAGAGATAGTATCGAATAAATTGCACTGTTCTTGAAAATTATTTTTCTTCCTAATTAATTCATTTAGTATTAATTTCTCCTGTTCCGTCTACAAGGAATATAATAGAAAATGGTTCACTGCTGTTTAAAGTTGAACGGAAGAGGCGCAAAGGGGTTGAAGGTTGAAAATTCTCGGTATTATCGATGAGTTACGATGACACGGCGCCTTATCCGTGTTCCCAACGATCCATATTGGTCACACGGGAGAGGAAATCGCTGAATTATACGAAGTTCCCTGCGAGGAAGGTTGAAACCATAGAAAAAACGGTCGCCCGCCCCTTCGCCCGTCGATTCCCTCGTATATCGTTATGTTTCCCCGTAACCGGTGTCGTCGATAAAGTCGAAACTGTCGTTTACCCTGGTTACTGTCTCTACTCGGTGAACACAGCTCGCTGGAGCGGTTCTTTGCCTGCGAATAGTATGACAGTTGTCGGGGATCTCGTGTGGGCGGCGAATCGAGATCATAGATCTCCTTGTAACAGGGCAGTTAAGTCTGCGACGGTGTCCCTTCGCCGTCGTACCTTCGTGTGTCACCGGGGAAACAGGGTCTGGGGAACGGTCTCGGGACTGGAACAACTGAATGATTATTCCAGAGGAATTCTGGACAGTGAAAAATCTTCCGGTTCGTTTGCCCAGAAATTTTTGGTTGGCTCAGTTCGCGTGAAATATCGCTGGAAGAGAATTTCTATAGATCTTTCAGTGGAGGAATAAATAAAACAGCTTGTCTCTTGATCGTATTATTAATATCAAAATTATAAATTATAGATCATTACAGTTACAATAAAGTACCTAACAAAACTACAGCTACAAATTACAGACATCAAACTTCAATTATAATAAACCACAGACACCAAAACCACGATCACAATAATATACCGACGTCAAACTTCAATTATAATAAACCACAGACACCAACACCACGACCACAATAATATACCGACGTCAAACTTCAATTATAATAAACCACAGACACCAAAACCACGATCACAATAATATACCGACGTCAAACTTCAATTATAATAAACCACAGACACCAAAACCACGATTACAATAATATACAGACTCAAGAATTACTTACAATAAACCACAGATACCGAAAACCAAGAGTTCCCCATATAAACCATACATCTCGTTGCCAGGTAAACAAACGACTGTCCCTAGCGCAGCAATCACAGCCGAATCTCACAAACCACGCATCTCGATTCATCGCTACCAATTACCGCAACAACAGCAGCACCTAACATCCCAGCGTCCCCCTCGCTGCTCTTTTTACCACCCCCGAATACATATTTAATTAACTGCGCACGCGGATTACCCGCGGAATCCTCGGCTCCTCGGCGAGGTTTTGCCGCGCGCCAGACAAGCGGGCTCGCGCGGATAAAAACAGGCGAACGGGAGGCGGTGTATCATCGCGCGGCGAGCTGGAATTCCACGGGAACGAATGAGGATCGCGATTATACGGGGGTTCGTTTGAAAGCGACAGGCCAACAGGTAAACGGTGCGTGGCGAATCGCGTGGCCGGGATAAAAAGATTAATTCAGCGGAGATACCGGGCCCGCCGTTCCGCCGGGACACGCGATACGCGTCTATCCGTATGTAAACCGGCGGATGGAACGGGAGCAGCGGATGAGAAAAGAGGGAAAACGAGAGAGCGGCCGGGATATTTGCATTGCGGTCGACTTGAGAATCGGGACCGCCCTCTTCCACTGAACCCCGACGGCGTCTACGAAACGTCGAAAGCGGAACGCGCTGCGACACTGTGTTATTTAACCCCTTGCCGTATTATTTACCTATGCCACTAAGCTCGTGCAAAATGTTTCTATCGACAGTTCAGAAGAAGCCCAAAGAAATTGTCCACTGCAATTTATGTACAAATTTTATTTCAAGATAATATATTGATAATAACAAAATATTAAATAATACTATAATGAATGTCTGACGAAATTGAAAATAATCTATTGTTACAATTTTTATGGGAATTGCATATTAATCGTATTAAATCCTCGGTAGTTCTAGTGTTAAATGAAGCATTATTGTTCTTTTTAGCAATTTGCATGGTTTGTGCTAAATCTAGACGTGGAAAGTAGAATGTTTTCTTTTTTAATGCATTGTTAATGATGAATAGTTCTAATTGTACCTACGAAATTCAATCGTAAGGCAAGGGGTTAATACGATGCACCCTTTATGGACGAAGATTTTTGAATTATAGGAAATCTTTGGCAGATGAAGAATTATATGTGAATTGATTAAGTAATGGGAAGAAGAAACTGCTGATCTCTTAGCGTTCGAGGAATTGAATTAATTAAATCGATCTGATATATAATATTCATTCGATATATTTAATATTATTGCTGACTCGTTTACCATCAGTCTCAACGCCATTCTTTCACGAGTCTATTTCGTATGGACGACCACGTACCAATACATTCCTATCTGTGTCCCATTTGTCACCGACCGTGTCGCCTTCGCCGGAAGATACCAGGTTCTCGATAATTTGATGGCTTCCGGTCCGACGTATTGTCCCGTGTTTCACCCCGTGACGGAGGGTAGTCACCGTTATATAATATTCGAAGAATAGTTACGTCATTCCATAACTCACATTTGATAAGAATATAAATTCAACGAAAAAGCTACGCTGTCTGCTCTACTTCGAAGACCAATGCCGCCATTGTTCCAACATCCATCTTCAATATTTTCCGTGAATATTTAGTAAATAATTTCTCTATTTAAACAAGTACACAATCTCCTGTTTTTCTAGTAGCTGAACATTCAACGTATAATTTACCGTAGAAAAGATTTCTAGTGTTCCAAACAAATTAACGCGTTGAATGCCATGGGGTCATCGGTGATCCAACCAAATCGTATTACTATAATTCACTTAATGAAACGATGATTGAAAACATTTCTATATTATAAATAATTCTATCTAATACGACGTCGTTCAGCTAGATGAACGAGCAATAATAACAATGCAGTTCAATCAAATGATTTAACCCTTTGGTCCGAAGTGCTCTTGGTTTCTCACTTTGAGGTTCGACGTTAGTTCATTCGATTACAGCTTAATACGACGCTCTATTTATTTATTCAAGAATATTTCGGAGTCATTGAAATACTACAAACACTACAAATAAATATAGAAAATACTACAAATACTACAAATAAATATAGTAATACTACAAATAAATATAGAAAAATTATTAATTAATTAGAATGTCGAGTCTGTCTCGACATAGGACTGCTAAGTGTTAATATTCCATTTCTTCCATTTCGAGTATTTTGAACTGTGAAATCGTGTGGCATTCAACGTGTTAACGAACGGTTAATCAGATGTTATTCACGAAACATCGATACAGAACCGTGTATGCAAAGAGGAAAGGATTGATATTACATGGAAATTGACCGAGAGAAAATGCAGAAGCTTTAACACGATGCGCCGGGGTTTCGATACTAATCCGATTTCTTCCGGTCGGCGTCGATCGTCCTCGTTAGTGGGACACTTCCGCGGAGGATCCCGCGAGATGGTTTAATTATACGATGTAAATTAGTCAGTCGAAGTTTCGAGCGGGTCCCTCGTTTTACGACTGTTAGTTATAAATGCATTTGTCGGGGTGCAATTGAATGTGAATTCGCGTAATTACGCTCTTATCTCGGCGGACGAAGATTCTACCCTCGCGTGACGGGGACGGTTTAACAAGTTAAACGACGGGGGTTGGAACGCGGGGAGTCCTTCTAATTCCGGGGAATATTTTCAAGAGAAACGCGGAATTATAGTTAAACGAAAGACGCTTTCGTTGAATATCATTAGCACCGTGTACAGTCGGCTTCCAGAGATATCGCGAATCGAGAAATGTGGGATAACGTTTAAACGGAAGACATTCTCGTTAGGTACGATGAGTATCGTATAAAGCCAGTCTCCAGAGAGATACCGTGAAACAAGAAACATGGAATCATGTTTAAACGAAAGATATTTATGCGACGTATCTTTCGTGTCGTGTAAGGATATCCTCGAACAATAAACGTCGAATAATATTTAAACGAAAGACAGTCTCGTTGAATATGATGAGTATCATATGAAGATGATTTCTGGAGAGACGTCGTGAATCAAGGAACGTGAAATAATATTTAAACGAAAGATATTTGTGACGTGTTATTCATATCGTATAAGGATGACTTGTAAAAGGATATCCTCGAAGAATAAACGTGAAATAATATTTAAACGAAAGACACTTTCGTTGAATATGACGAGTATCATATAAAGATGATTTCTAGAAAGATATCATGCATCAAGGAACATGAAATAATATTTAAACGAATTGTTTAGGTCAAATATAATTCGTATCGTCTAAGAATGACTTGTAAAAGAATATCTTCGATCGATTAATATTGAAAAAAAATATGTTCTCGTTGAATATGATTAGTATTACATAAATATGGATGATAGAGGGTCGTGTGCATAGAGCAAGCATATTTTACGAGGATTACTTTTCATTGCAGCGCCGGAGTTGACAATAACCGACGATTCCGGGCGGGTAGTGCCTAAAGAAAGGCACCTAAAGGCTGGAAGTGCTCTCAAGCTCAGGTGCGAGGCTAGGGACGTCCTTGAATCTCTGAAGGAGACCGTTATTTGGACCAGAGGGGATGAAACGCTCACCGACGACGTTAGGTAAGTCTGTCTGATGTTATTCTTGTAACTCCGGCGTTCTGCGAGTTCAACTCGTCGGGCCGAATGGAACTTCCAATTCGAACGTCTTCGAATTAAACAGTTTGGACAGTCTGAGATTAAAGACTTTACGTGAGAGATTGAATTGCATTCTTCAAATACTGAACCCTTCAACTCTGACTTCTAGTAAAATCTCATTCTACTTAATTATTCCCTCTGTATATCATTCTTGAAAAGTGTCTGAATATGTAAACATGATTTAACGTTCGATTCAACGTTCAACTTTATTAAACCTTTGCACTCGGAAGTTCTTCAGTAGAAATATTTGAACATTTCCCGATGAGACGAAGACGACATTGTTTGAAACTAATTTAATAATTCACAGATAAATTAAGCAAAGCTATTTTATTTAAATATTTCACATTGCGATACGAAGTTTCATTTAAAATACTAAATACTCAACTTCATAATTTTGCTGTATCAATTCAAGTGGTGACTGAGAGTCACCTTTCGAGTGCAAATTTCGACTTTGTCATAATTTATTCATTTAGAGCATTTACTTCACTAATAACTTTGTACACTTCACTAACGAATACAGTTGTAATCACTGCTAATAAGAACGTTCTCCATTCGCAATACCCCAAAATTAAGTGCAGTCTACGGAACAATTCGTAGCTACGTCTACCAATTATCTTTCCATCGATAATCATTCTCGTCACTGTTAACACCTGCGCCTCAAATCCCGGAAAGAACTATCGATCCCTCTCGCACGGTCGCTAAAGAGTGAAACATAAAATCCTTGTAATCCAGCCTCCACCCCCAAGTCAATTCGAACTTCTCGAGCTGACGGTTCCTGCGAGCCACGGAATTCAACGCGGGCCATCAGCCGGAAACAATTTCGCGGGGAACCATAGCGCCATCCTGCGCTCGACGTTAATGAAATTATCAGGTACGCGGGCTGCAAACCGACCGCGAAAACATCTCGGGACTCACTGGAGACCCGTATCCGCGAAACGAGTCGAGACTTCTCCCTCGAATTCGCCTTCGGACTCTCCGGGAACCGTGGATTTCAACGGAACAAAGAATTGCCATGATCGAAGATTGAAGTTGCCGCTAATTAACGAGACTACAGTATAATAATTCCTCTTCAGTGATGAATTAACGTACCGATTTACATCTAAACGACATAATCTTCATTCTGATCATCTAGTGATACACTGAGAGACGGAAGTAGTTCGTGCAGAATTTCTTTTAAAAATTGAAGAGTTTATTAAGATTAGTTACTTTGCTTCGAATTTAACAATCATTGAATTATTTGAACCTAATTTCATAGGACAGTCATATTGAATTAATATCATAGTAGATGCTATAGATTAATATAATTAATTATAAATAGATGAATATATATAATTATAAAATTAATCATAGATTAATAGAATAGTATAGTAGAATAATATAATAAAATCCTAACATTAGATCTACGGAACCCGTCAATTTTGAAATTGGATACTTTACATTACTTCGTCTCAATTTAAGTCGATTTCGATTTCAATTATACGAATTCAGAAACTTCCGGTCGATATCAACAAACCTTCTAGTAACACGTATAATAGAGTATAAATAAGATATAGAATAAACATCCGTGAATCTAGCATTAACGCAGAAAACTGCAATTCCTTCCCAAAGAATCCTCGTAGATTGTACCCATCAACAATACGAAACCTCTGTTATTCGATCAACTTCAAGTGGCAGTGCACAATAGAGACTGAACTGAAAGCTAGAACAAAGGTCGCCCCCGAGTGGATGCGTCACTGTCAGTTTTCCCAGGATTAACTGCATCCTCGCGAGACGTTCACAGCAGGGTGTCTGTTTTCCAGCGAGAACCGGACGACGGAGGTCTCGGTCGGCAAGGAGGTCCTCGTGATCGTCAGCACCTTGATCGTGGAGAGAGCCAGCCCGAGGCACGCCGGGAATTACAGCTGCGTGGTGCCCGGCAAAGCCAACACCACCATCGCGGTGCACGTGCTCAACGGTGAGTTTTTCGAATAATTTGCGCTCTTTTTCGCGCCGGCCGCCGACGCGGCGAGTGTTTACGATGCTCGCGAGAAAGATTGATGTACGTTCGCTCTACGGCGATGAGGTTTTCAAGGTGCGCCGATGATTCGCAGCTTTTTGCGCTCTTCTCGGACCCTTCCGCTCGTCTCCGGCGAATCAAGAGATCATTGGCGATCGTTATTTCAACGTTTCCGTGCGCGACGGTCTCTGGTTCGCCGGTTTCTGTTTTCACGCGTTGACGCTCACTTTGGAATCGGTGATGGAGGAAAGCGAGTCTTTCTTTTGGTTAATTAGTTGATTCTTTGGGAGGTCGATCGAGATTTCATACTTTCAGAATAGAATTATGGACGGATATAGATGGCATTAACGTCAGTGTTAATTATAGGAGATACAAGGAACTACATACATGCTCACAATTGACAGATTTAGGAACCCGTCAATTCGACGGATACCGAATTTTCTAAACATTATTCAGTAGCAGTTTCAGTCGATTTTGATTCGTGCAATTATACGAATACGCATAATAGTACTCTAACGCTGAAGCTATAGTATTCATGATTTATATAAATGAACACGTAGTTCTCCAGGAACAACAGAACAAAATGTAGACTAAGCGTCCATAAATCTAGCGTTAATAAACGCAGCAAAAAGCAGCGCTCCGTTTATTCCCGTCTTATTGCCGGTTGTTCCGCGTCGAGCTGCCCGCGAAGACTAATATCCCCGAAGAAGATATCTATTAGCGGCATTAACCATTTGAGTCCACCAGTTTTTGCAAAAACTCGGTCGAAAAATGCCAAGCGACGCGATCGCGCTTCTTTCGGTTTAATTGAGAAACTGGATTATGCCTTTCTATTTTTACAAAAACATTTTAAATAGAGCAATCGTTAAATCTTTCCATTTTTAAGCGGGTAATAACAAAAATGAAAATGAATGATTAAAAGGAAAAGAGATAAATACGCTTCATCCGATTCTACGAACCGAAAGACACTTTTAGGCGGTCTAGCGGAGAACCGCCATCTTGTCGCTCGGGGCTCGAACGATTAATATCTGGGTGCCGTTTCTTAACTTCCACGGCCGACCCGGCCCGTCGGTCAGTCGATTATTCGACCGATACGGCATTAAATTACCCGGGAATGAAATTTCACGCGAACGGATATTAATTACTATCGAACGGTCGAATACTTCCACGGTGGGAATTAATGCCTTCGCCGTGGCGCGGCCGCGTTAAAAAATTCATCAATTTAAATCGCGCGACCGTATATTAAAAGTGTTCGGGAGGATGATAAAAAGCGATTCCTGTAAAAAATGGGCTTGTCCCGCTGCTGAACCCGGGACTCGAGCGATTTATCGGGCGTCTAGTTTTTCTCTTACAATTAGGGGAACACGTCGGACCAGCAACAAGCTCGTAATTCTTTACGCTCGCGCGATTAGCGTGACGCCGCCTTCCTTTTTTCGGGATCCTTTACGATACGCTCAGTGTCTCGGAATTAGGACGGCGGACAATAAAACGGTCGTTCGGCGGAGGCAACGGGGTTACTGGGGCGGTTTAAGCGAGATTCTTTAAAGATTGATGCATCAAGTTTCCTTCAAGTTCCAGTTTCATATATTTCCATCGTGTCATCCGGCATTTTTCCCTCGTTCTATTTGGAATTCTATGGAAACATTCTACAGAATGTGATATTTTAGAAATGATTAAAATTCCGTTCAAAGTTTTAATTACTTCTCCGAGCTGTCCTTTCATGTCGTAGGTAACGAAACTCAATTTTAAAACAGTACTTATATTCAACACATTTGAGAGACTACATATACTCAATTTCTACTGCGTAATAACATAAATATCATTAAAGTTTCTCAATATTCATCTCCCGTTCTCGACAAGAATCAAATTCTATCAAAATTCATCGCCTCGCAAGAAAACCGAACAATCGTTTCCGCGTCAATCGCAGAGAATCGATAGAAGGCAACGATAAAATAGAAAACATTTTCCAAAAGATGGCTTCCCCGACGTACCGGGCAGCGTCAGCGAAAGGCATTAGTCTGCGAGGAAGGACAAGCCAGAAAAAGATCGGACGTTAATAGTGACAAACGGATTGACAAAAAGTGACGTGTATCGAGGGAATCGTCGGGGGGAGAGGGACGTCGTAAAAACGGAGAGCGACGGTGACAGGAGGGAGAAGCGAACGTCCGCGCGGCAGACGCGACAATGCGATGTTCTTTCGCGTATCAGCCGAGGAATCACGTGAGTTCCGGGTGCGGCGCGCGCCGCGTGTCGAGCCGTCTAGCGGCATTATAACGGGGCTCACGTTTTCAGGGTGAAAGGAGCTGAAAGCTCTCACGGAATACCGCTTTTTCGTCAGAAATCGTCCTGCTTTCGGCGCAGAAAAGAACCTCGCTTCTGTATTCCCGTCTCGATCCCGCGATCGTAGACATAACAGCCGTTCATGCTTTCCGCTGGAGCGAAAGGGTAAATAGGGGCTGAATTAGATTCTTCAGAGACGGCTGCTTTGTTTCTTCCGGAGATTTGAAGATTCTAGGTTTTTCTCTGGTGAATAGATAGTTCTGTGTGTATTGATATCGTTGGTGGTAGTTGATATCAACGCTTTGTGCAATGAATCATGAGAGAATTAGTAACTTTGAATCGAGTGGCGACTGAGAGGTGACTGTAGAGTGTGAAGGGTTAGTATTAGGAATGATTGGTAATAATAATATTACTCAATACTGATGTTAATATTATTAATAGCTTTGTTTTGTGAATAATTATTAATCCGTAATCGAATGTCGTAACGGATGCTTCGAGCTTCGTCTGAACTCGAAGGTAACAAATGAGTAACATAATAATTCACTCGAATTATAATTCTCTTCTCTTTTAGTATTTAGAATTTCAACGTACTTCTTCGTACCAAGCATTCGTCGAAATTTCAAACATCCGACGAAGGGTCAGTATCCAGTGTCAATCTACTGTACGCCATTACAGTATCTTTCGTGTATATCATCGTTTCGAACGGTGTACTATACAAGCAATTCTTCTTCCATGGATAGTTGTGCACGTCATAGTCTAATGTAATTGCACAGTGGAAAATTCAGTCTGAAATCGCAATGAATCACGTCGATTATTTGCAGACTGCGTGAAACCTTGGCGTAGCCAAAAAGTTAAAAGACGAAGGGTCAAGAACAGGTCCAAGCTGGCTCCGCCTCTATCCTTCTCCATCCGTCGAGTTCACTTGTCGTCGAATAAGCGATTCGAAAGTCCCGAGCCGTGCCGTATGCATGCAGACAAAAGTGTTCCGCTCGAAGCGCGCGAGGAGACTCGCAATGCAACGAGGTACGAGTATCGATTGCAGACCCGCCGAAGGGAGCACGTAGCCCCTCGAAAATGTCCCTGGAGGGTTCCAGCTTCTTTTCTATTCCTTTATCGGGAACCTATCGTATCGAGTGTCATCTCGAACTCGAACGGTCCCTGAATAAACATAACAAACACTCCGGAAATCGGGATCAAGTCGCGAGAACACCGGATCCCTGGTTCCGGTAAACAACGCCGTGCCCTCTGTTCCTCTCGGAATTCGGCCGACGGTGCACCGTCGACTGCAACTACGAACGACAGAAACCCGACCCGCCCCGGATTAGAACGGAAAAATTTATCAGGAATCTGATCCCGCGCTGTTAGACCCCCGACTTCCGATGTAAGGCACAGCCTCCGTCGTCAACGATCTTCCGAACTCCAATATTTCTGCGCCGAGACACCGTTTTTCGTTACTCCCGACGTACTTCGGTTGTTTCTTCGCGGAGCACCGGGAAGAACGGGGCAGTTTCTTGAAGTTTGCGATGTCCTTGATCGCTGGATTATTAGAGAGAGGTTTTCGAGATATTGGGATCGTGAAATGTAAAAAGTTTCCGCAAAATGTTGATATATAATTACAGAAGTTACATATAGAACTAGAATACTGTAATCGCTAAGTAATAGCTGTATGTCTATAACATCGTCGATCATTGTCTCAAAAACCCCTTCTCAATCAACCAAAGGATCAATCACACAAACACCTTAAAATTCACGCAAAACCAGTCGCGCTTAGCGCATACAAGTACACAACCTCCAAATATTCGTACATCAGGTGAAACTGAGTCCCTCCCTAACTCCCCCAAAAGAAATAAAATAAAAACACCCCGAAACGCTTTAGCCCTCGGTCATCACGAAGCTCTTCGGGATCTGTAGGAGGGATCTAACGTGCCGCAGGATCGTCCATCTTCCAGGAGCACCTTATTATGCCCGTCCGTTCTTATGGCGGCTCGCCCTGCGCAGGTCAGGAAGCATTAGAGGCCCCGAAAGCCCGCACAGTCACGGACAGTCGAAGATCCCGTGGAATCATCGTGCTCAGGGGATGAGGCTTGTAAATGGAGGAAAAAATGGCCTTCATCTTCATCGCCTCCCTCTTTAACCATCCTTGCACTTTTACTCCTGTTTCTCTCCTTTCATTTCTCTCTTCCTGTCGCCTTATCTCCTGCTTCTCTCTCAATTCTTGTCCATCCTTTCTCTTTATCTCTATTTTTCTACATCTATTTATCTTTTCTTTTCTCTCACTCTACTTCTGCTTTTCCTCTAAGTCTACACACCTCACCCTCTTTCCTCTTTCCTCCTTTCTTCGCACTTTCCCCGTCTCATATACCTTCTGTTTTCTTTTCATTCTTCTTTCCACTCCCATCTCTGAATCTCTCCCTCTTTCCTCCCCGTCTACCCTTGCTCTCTTCCCATCATCCCTCTGTCCCTCACTTTATTCTTTCGTCCCGCATCTGCCTCCCTTTCCAGTTTCTTCCTTTCCACCCCCATCTCTCAATCCCTCCCTCTTCCTCCCCGTCTACCCTTGCTCTCTTCTCATCTTCCCTCACTTTGTTCTTTCTTCCCGCTTCCCTCGTCCTCTCTCCTGTCTACCATTTCCCGTTCCTTTCTCTCCAAGAGAATTCTTTTCCCGTCCCACCGTCGCA